GGCTGGCGCGGCCGTCGGCGCGGGCAGCGGGAACCGAGGCCAAACGTAAGTTGCTAGCCAGCTTCTGCGAGGCTCCGCTTCTTCCCGATCGCCTCGCGTGTTGGAAGGAAGGGCGCGAGGCGGACTGGGGACTCTGCGGAGCTGCGCCCGAGATGGCGGCCAGGAGCGGGAGTGCGGGGACGCGGGCTCCTGCTCGGCAACTCAGACACGGGCTGACTGGAGGCCCATGAGAGCACGCGTGCTGAGACCGCCGCGTTTGCCCGCTGGCGGCCCCCTTTCTGCCCACGCCGCTCCAGGGAGTGCGCTCGGGTGTGCGCGAGCCGGGCTGGTGCGCAGAGGGCGCGCAGCCCTTCCTCTGGGCGCGCGGAGCCCCGGCGCTTAGAGCCTGCGAGCCTGAAGCCGGACCACGTTTTTGTTTCCAGAGCCCGACCGACCCGCTACTTTGGACTGTCTGAGCTGGCTCTACTGCAGAAAGGAAAGTCACTCCTCACCCACCTCCCTTCCCGCCCTCCTGTCTAGTAAGTGGGCAGTAGGAGTGAACTTGGTGTTTTCCGTTTGGGGTTTATGGTAGTGAAGTGTGGGTTGCTACAGGCCGGACAAAGCTCCACTCCGCTTCCTCTGGCAGAACTATTAGCGCAGAAGAACTCACTCTGCGCAGAACTTTTTCTTAGTGCTACAAATGGTCTCTGTCACCTGACCCTCAAGCCATCCTCAACCAGGTCCCTGTGGCTCCGCCATTCTGGCTGCCAGGTGAAGGGACTAGAGGCCACTGGGTCGGACTCCCCATCCAAAACGAATATGCTACCCACTACGAAGGGAAAATGTTGTATGGAAGCAGACAGGGATCTCCCTTTGTCTTTTGCCCCTCGGCCTCGCCTGAGGCGGGCGGGGGTGGGGGGTCCCTCTTTAAAACTAGAAAACATGACATACTCATAGCATTTTTATTTTTAGCCCTGGTGTTTGGGATCGAAGTGAGTTTGGAGATTGTTTTCTTTTTTCTTGTTTATCTTTTGGATTTGAGCCAGGGCCTTCCCCTTTACAAACCAGTTCTACCTTGGAGAGGAGGCCAGCTAAGGCTGGTCTCTAGATGGTGCAGTCACAGGCCAGGACAATGAGGGTGGAATTGTCATTCACCTCCTTATTTTTTTTAATAATTATTTAAGTTTATTTACTCATCCATTTATTTCAATCTGACCAGAGAGAGACAGAGAGAGAGAAGGGAAGTGAGAAAGCAAGCCACCAGGTCCAGGGCTTGAACCGTGGTGAGCCATGTGGGAGTGTCCAGCGCCTTAACCACTACGCCACCCGCTGGTTCTGTCACTTACTTATTAATAACATAATAAGCTGAGTTTTCGAATGCTCCCTGCAGCCTACTCGTCTAAGTGGCTTTCATTGTTCACTACTCCAAGCTATTCTGCCCTCAGATTTTCCGCTCGTGGGTAACGCTTGTGGGTAACGGTGAAGGGGTTAGACTGGCTCTGCTGTCCCTAGATCAATGGAAAAGTTTTTTTAAGTGCCCTCCTTTAACTCAGTAATTTTCACAAATGCCACAATTTCAAGCTCTGGCTTTCAGGGGGAGGGATCTGAACTTTTAACCTTTTCCTCATCCCAGAAGTTGTCACCTTTCTGTTCCTGCAGGGCCCATTAGAGAAACAGAGAGGGTATGGGTGACCTTTCATCAGAGGGTAAGAAGGGACAGGAACTTCTGGGGAGAGGCTTCTGGCAGGTTTGCTCACCCACAAAGATGTTGTCTTGGAGGACCCCAGTTGTGTCTTTTTTTTCCTCTTGGACCCTCTGTGGTAAATAAAGGGAATGAAGGTGGAGGGTTCTGTCTGATGAAGAAGGTGTGGCAGTTTCAGTGGGTGACAGTAATAAGTAACCTATGCTTAGAGCCCCAGGAAAGGGAGGTTGGGCCCATGGAGGTCACTAGTCCAGTTGTCAGTGCCACCTCCTTTGAGGGACAGGAAGCTGTCCAGAGGAGAAGTGGAAGGTCTGGAAAGTATGTCTAGTGAGGGACAAAGGAAAGACCCATCAATATGTCTCCCAGAGATGAGATGCCCCGAGGGACAGGGCTGTGGCCTTCAGGTATCCCAAGTGTTGTCAGTTGAGAAAAGGAGAATACTTGCTTGTTTGGTCTGGCCTGAGACTCTGGTAAGAAGTGGAGAGACAGGGCTCAGTGTAGCTCAGGAAGCAACTTGCAAACAACCTGAGCTCGTCAACAGGTTGCTCTCAGCAGAGACTGGTGACGATCAACAGTTCCAAAGGGTAAGGGGCCTTCTGGGTCCAGGCCTCTGTGACTCCGAGTTCGGAGGTGAGAACCTCGCTGACTGGGCGGGATGGTATGGCAGTCTGTGGGACTTTAAATGAGACGTGCTAAGATACTGGGGGACTTTATTTATCGCCAAGACCAGTCCATCCAGGCATCCCCCCAATCTTGTGTTGCCTGGGAGGTGGACATAGACTCCAGGATGCTGGGGATGAACAAGAATAACCTCCAGGGCTTCCGCTAGCCTATGCATCCCTTCTATGAATTAGAATAAGATGCTGCCTCTTAGCAGAGGAGGGCACTTGGTGCCATTTAGGAACAGGGGCCTCTCGTCTGGCCAGGCACGCAGTGGGCAAGCAGCTCAGGGCTGAATTCCTCACTCTCCAGCACCACACACTGCACGCCATTCTCAGCAGCCCTGGGAGCTAATAATTATCAAGGGTTCAACATTTGCCAAGCTTTCTTTTTATCCCCCCACAGCACTTTGCCTTTATTAACTCACTTTGCATTTAATGCTCACAGTAGCCCTATGAGGTAGGCATTGTTTTCCCCATTCTACAGAGGAGGAAACCGAGACACAGGGACTTAGTGTTCAGGAGCCTGGAAACCAAGTCTAATCACTGAGCATTCACAGAGCCAGATGCAGGTTGTAAGCACACAAGGCTAGTTTGGTTGGGGACTCTGATGAGAAGGAGAGAAGAACAGTCACCTTTCTCTTAGCCAGGTGGAAAACTCCTCTGGCAGAAGAAAGGGGAGGAAAGAAAAAGGCAAGCCCAGCCTTGATGGCTGATAGAGAGGCCTGGCCCAGGTGTTAAATGACTTTGCTTCTTCATCACTGGGCGGTGTGAGGTGGCAAACCAGTTTGGGGCCAGGCACGAGGGAGATGAGTAAGTACGACCTGGGTGTGTGCGGACAGAAAGGCCATGGCTTCACGTAGGCGCTGACCTAGGCAGAGAGCTGCCCTGGGAAGCAGAGGAGGTGAGTGCCTGAACATACTATCCTGACCTTCCAACCCCCATCCCAAATCCCCATCCATGTCCTCTTCCCTGCCTGTCACCTGCGATTGCTCTTCCCAAGCTCATCCAGGCAACCTTTCCCCAAACCCTATCTCACAGCTCCATATGTGTGGTCACTAAGTTCCCACACAACTGCTCAGCACGGAAATCGCTAGACCTGAGCGTTTTACCACATACTGTCTATAGATGCTTTAAACGAAATGGGCTTCTCGTCTGTGAGGAAGTCAGGATGCCTCCTGGGAAGGGCTGGCTCGTGCCCAGCAGATTACAGAGAGGGTGGAGTTTACCTGGATTGTGTCGCCTGTCCCAGGAACTGGCTCTCTGTACCCACTCAGAAACCCTATTTCCATTATTCTCAGAGTGGTTTGGACTGGGGTTACTGAGTCACTCCAAGATAGCTTCCAGAAGTGGGTGTACAAATCAGAATGCTAGCTTATTGACTTGCAAAGAGACATTGTGAGCATCACACAGACTGGATGTCATCTGTCCCCTGTATCCTGAGCAAGCCACATGGGAAACCTGAGATCAGAAAAAGGCTTGTACTGGACATAGCTGGACAGAGCCTGGCAGGAGGTGGGTAAGGGGCAGTGATGTCCAGCAGGGTGGGGTTCTGTCTACCTCTTTGTGGCCCTCGGGCAAATGGAGAGTTACTTGCCTCAGGTCAGCTTGGCTATGGGCATCTCTCTAGCTAATGCCGCCAGGGCAGTGTTTGCCTGGTAGGATTTCTCCCTTCTTTCCACGTGCAGTGATTTTTCATTTTATTTATTTGTGTGTTTAGTACTTTGCAAGCAGTAACTCCCAGCCTCATAGATTTGCATTGCCCAGATTAAATAACTACTGTAGAATCCCAAGGTTGTAGGGCCAGGCCATAGGAGTAAATACTATATGCAAATCCAGAGGATGGTCAGGTTTCCTGGATAGGTCAACAGGGAGCCAAGCTCAGAGCAAAGAAATGTTGCCCCTAATCAGCACGGAGGCCCTGGGAAGTGGAAGGGCCAAGGCTGGCCACGCATCACAGCCTGTGGGTGACACTAGGAGTGAAGTTGCCTCCTCAAGTCACCTGCTGCCCAAATGGCCTCTGGATTTAAAGAGCTCACAACATGTTCTCTCTCCAGGCCCCCTCACAGCTCACTTTTAGTGAACTACATCTCCAGGTGCCCAGAGCCAAAGTGGAGTGACCCACATGGGCTTTGGAATGGGCAAACTTGGATTGAGTCCCGGCTCTACCACTTAATAGTCAGATGTTCTCAGTAGTTGGGCAAGTGCCTTGAGCATTCCAAAGCTCAGTTTCATCGCCAGCAAAATGAGGATAACCCCCTCATAGGGCTGTTGGATGGGCGGGGCCAGGTGATGTGTCCTGAGCTCCTAGTGGGACCTGGCATAGACCAGCAATAGACCAAGAGTCACATTCCCTGCCGAATTGGAGCTCCCATCAGGCCATCGTTTTCTTCTCTGAGGTCTGGACAAAGGGCAAGACTGCCAGGACCCAGATTGTCTCAGAGGGGCAAAAGAGATCCTCATTGCCTTTCCGTGTGGTTTAAGAGGTATCCAGAAAGGAGAGAAGGGTGGGGAGGTTTTCTAGGAGAGATGCAGGTCATTTGGGAGTGCACAAGAGGTCTACAGCATCCTCCTCAATGGTTCAGGACCTGCGAGGTTTTCCCGTACAGAGCGCATCTCCCCTCCGTCCATGTGGCCAGTCCTGTGACATCAGCGGAATGGAAGCACCTTGCAGGTGACATCACTGTTGCCCAAGGCAACACCTGTATCTTAAGGTAGATGGGGAAGAGAAAGACCAGCCTCAACTGTAAGAAGAGACATAGAGTTGAAAGAAAGGGACGTAGAAGGAGTAACATCCACAGGTGTGTTCTCAGAGGCCAGTGGAAGTACAGCCACAGAGGGAGAGGGAAAGACTTCTGGGCTGTGAGCTGCTGGTGGGGGAGTCTTTAGGCCTTGGGTATGGCCTGAGGGAAAAGAGTGCAGTGCTGACAGCTGCAATCTAGTCGAGTTCTCTGAGGGGGACACCTCAGAGACAGGGCCTTCTGCAGCTTCCATCTGTGAGCAGTGGCAGACGAAGGGCAAACTTAGAGTTTCAATGGAATGATCAGAAAACAACTTCTCTTTCTTCACTCTCGCCCCCAAAAGAAAGTGAGAAGCAAGGATGTCCACGTACTTACTCTGGTGGCTTCTTCATTGACTGAGCAAATATCGTGTACCTGAAGTAAGCACAGCACTGTGCTGGGGACCCCATGCCATTGTGAAGCTTGATGGTCAAGGGCACCCAAAGAGGAGGAACATAAGACTCCACTGCCCCAAGAGTGGAGTCCTAGCTGTAACATTCCCCCTGGAATTCTCGATGGGTTCATTTAAGCCTGTAACCCCATTCTCTCTTGTAGCTCATGCAGGAGGTAGGAGATGTTTGAGACATACTTGATGTTTTGGAAGTGGTGCTAAGAGAGACCAGCCATGGGTGTCAGCCTTCCCTTCCCAACCCCCACTCGGGGACAGCACTGTTCGCAGAGCCTAACTCACTTGGCAGTCCTGATCCTCTTAATTCAGTGACCCAAGGCTTCATCATCTTATAAGATGATGCTTACTGCTCTCCTGAAGACAGAAATTCCTGAGCAAAGGCTGCAACAAGCCAACACAAGGCATGAAGGAGGTAGAAAAAGGAGAATTTCCTGCCCTAAAGAAAGGGGAAAACTAAGATCCTGGGAGGAGAATGGAGGAGAAGGGATTGTGGCGTGGCATCTCCCCTGGGGGGTGATTTCTGTCTCTCTGTATCTCTCTGTCTAGAAAGCACACACGCCTTATGGCAAAAACCTCTCAAAAAAAATTAAAAATAGGGGGAAAACTAGATGACTTGTAGGTCTCTCTCTCTCTCTCCAGAGGTTTGAGAACAGAATCTCTTGTCTTTCAACTTGAAATGATCTGATTGAAGTTTCCACTTTGTGCAAAGTGAGCAAAACTTACATGCTTCCCTGGTGTCCCATCAGTGACTAAAGTGATTGCCCTAATGTTTGCATGAACACAGTTTTTTCAGGATTGTACCTGAACATAACGAAATCTTTAGCAGAGAAGACTATTTGCAGATTATGCCTCTACAATTCTGGTTCCCAAATTAGTTGTCATCATGATCTTTTGTTCATAAAAGTAGAACAGCCTTTTTTGAGAGAGAGATTTTTGCTGTAGGGCACACGTGCTCGCCAGAGAGATAAGAGAGATAGAAACCAAGAAATCTCCCCCCCGGGGGGATGGCAACCCCTTCTCCTCCATTCTCCTCTTGGGATCTTGGGCATGCACACACACACACACACACACCTGGTGTGAGTTTCACGCTGCCAGGTCTGCGACTCACACCACAGTCGACTACATGGGAGGCCAGCAATGTAACCATTATGCCATCTGCTGGACCTGCCTTTTGAAAAACTGAGCACCTACTCGTTAAGCAAAATCTGCTCTTACAGGCTTTATGTTTTATATATATTGGGTTTTGGGGGAAGTCACGACATGTTTTTCTATGCAAACATGCGTCATGACTTTCCCAACAACCCGATATTTGTTTCCTTTCCACAATAGTCCTACAGAGCAGGTATTATCCAAGTTTTATAGGCTCAGAGAGGCCAAGAGGCTTACCCAAAATCACAGAGCTGAAAACTACAGAGACAAGATTCGAACCTAGTTCTGCTGTTTACTAGAGCCTTAGTGTCCAGCGTAGGCCTCTGCCTGGACACCATGGCCCAGTGAACAGAAGGTAGCAGAAAGAATCCCACAGAGTTCAAGTGTCCAAGGGGAGAAGGCAGCAGGCAGACCACCACCTCCAGGCCTGAGCCGTCTGGTCCCCTTCTGCTGTGATTCGTTGCTTGATATTCACATAGGGCTCAGTTTTCTTCTCTGTTTAATGGGAATTCTAGCAACCAAGAGCAGATAATATTCCAAGCATTGTGAGATCCTCAGATGGAAGTCCCTAGAAAAAATACCAAGCCTACAATTGTTAAATGATTCACTTCCAGGGGAATAGCACAGTAGGACTGGTCCGGGAGGAGGGGCTCAGCTTTGAAGCTGCCCTGGGCTGCTGCTGCTTTCTCCTGGGCCGTTTCCATGAAGTAGGTGCAGGAGGTCTTCTGTTAGCTCACCTCAAACCCAGAGGGCGGGTGCTATAATCTTGGCCCTGCCTGTTGTTGCAAACCATGTGCTTGTAACACACTGTTCTCATGGGAGCCTTCAATGACCTTCTTAGCAGCAGTCAGAGGACCCGCCTGAAGTTCATGAAAGGGTCCTTTGTTTGAGATTTGTTCTGGATTCTCAGAGAGGGCAGGGGATGCTGCATGCCTGGACCACACCCTGCGTGCCACCCCAAAATGCCTGAGTGTACCCACAACACTTTCTCCTTGAAGCCTCGCTCCAACGCATACTTACCGTCCCAGTGCGAGGAAAGCCCTTATCCCCTTTTCCTCATCAATCACAGAGACTTACCTTCCTTTTCAAATAGCCCAAGTACCACTCACAGAATCTCTTGGTAGAAGGAGCGTAAGCCCTTTAGGTCTAACTCCCTGCTTCGTGCACAAATTTCATGTAAGCTGTCACCTTCCCCTCCCTGAAGAGTGTGGGCAGGATACAGATACCAGTTGGGCTCGAAAGCCTTATTTATGGGCCTGGGTTCAAATCTTGGCTGTGTGGTGGTGCATGAGTGGCCTTGCCTCTAGGCCTCAGTTTCCTTGTCTGTAAAAGAGAGGTAAGTGCCTGTGTTGGAGATTTAATGTGAGGCTATGTGGAGAGCATTCTGCACAGCGCTTACGCCTTAGTACAGGTGACACCTCGGGTGTAATTTATTAAACCCTCCCCTGGTCTGTCAGAGCCCTGAGGCTTATCCACTTCCTTCAAAAAGGGAGCATTGCTGGTTACTCTGCCAGGAGTATTTTCCTGCTCCTCTTACCTCATTTGTATGGAACCCTGTAAGCTGCCATTTGCTCTCAAGCAAGAAGGGGATATCAAGAGACAAGGCAGCTGTGGGGGGCAAGATGGTCAGACAAACTTAGGTTGGGTCAGATAAACTTATTCCTGGGGCCTTTTCTTGGTGAATTATGTTGGCAATGAGGTGGCCTTTGGTCTCCAGGGCTGCTTTAGAAGGGGCTTGCTCACGTTTCCAAGGCACTCACCACTGTTAGCACTTAGCTTTTCTGACTGCAGGGTGCCTCCCAGGAAGAAGGAATTTAGTTACCTCATCCAGGACCTCCCACTCCACTCCAGGAATTTTATATTCCTGCTCTCGGGAGTAAAGGCAGTGAGGTTCCTTTCCCAGTCCTGATGCGTCTGCTCCTGTCTAATCTAGGGTGCTCAGAGCCTCGTGGAGGGGCTGTCAGACTGGAGACAGGGAGGATGCTGCTGAGCTTCCTGGGTCACCAAAGTTGCTACCCTGCACTCCCTTCCTCCGTCAGCCCCTTGGGCCTTTAGAAGACAAGGAGGTGGAGGAAAAAACTTGGTTGTTGTTTCTGGGGATGTTGGTTAGTCCCTCTTTCCAGAAGAGTCCTTAAGATCCAACCATGGGCCAGACCCGAAGCACAGTGGTTAAGTCCTGTGCATTGGGAGTCCAATCCCACATGGCCAATTGCTGGTTCAAATCCCAACCCTGGTGGCTTGCAAAACATGCCAGGCAAGTGTATGTGCATACCTAAAATCCTGAGAGGACAGAGAAATGGAGGAACTTCATTGGAGGGAGTGTGACTTCCCTCTCTCTCAGGAGTATATGTGCCCTCTGGCAATTAAAGATGCAACCAGGATGACTTTTTTTTTTTTTTTTTGAGAGATTTTCACTATAGGGTGCGTGCGCTCACCAGACAGAGAGAGAGAGACATAGAGACAGAAAGCGAGAAATCACCCCCCAGGGGGGATGGTCACGCCGCAATCCCTTCTCCATTCTCCTCTCGGGATCTTGGGCAGGCACGCACACACGCCCGGCGTGAGTTTTAAGCCACCGGGTCCAGGACGCGAACCATGGTCAACTACATGGGAGTCCAGCAACATAGCCATTACGCTAACTGCTTGTTTCCACTATGACTTTTTTTAAAAGGAAAATTGCTATAGGGCACTTGTGCTCACTGAAGAGAGAGAGAGAGAAGTGAGAACACACCCTCCAGGGGGACTGACGACATAACAATTTCTTCTCCTCCATTTTCTTCTCAGGATTTTGGGTGCGTGTGCAAGCACATCCACACACTAGGCATGTTTTTCAAGCCGCTGGGTTCAGGACTCAAATGGTTCAGTTGACCACGTGAGATCCAACCTCTTAACCATTATGTTACTTAGCCGGCCCATAACTAGGTTGATCTAACAAATCAAAAGGAGACTTGACCTTTTACCAATAGCAGTGGCCATAGTCATTTACAACTACTGCCTCACTTACATGCACAATGCCATGAAGTGCGACTATTGTCATAGCAAGTGTTAGAGCCAGGGTTCCAACTCAACAGCTCAGCGAGCCTGATTCCAGAGGTTGGCCCCTTAGCTACCAAACTCTAGGACTTACAGACTGTTAAGCTCTTCTCAGCTAATGAGCTTTGGGCTTTTTTTGTTGTTCTCTTTTTTGAGTGTCCTTGGGGGCCAGAGCATATCCCCGTGACCTTGGCCGCTTGCAGCCTGCTGACACCTGTGACCTGCCTTGGGTTCCTGCATCTAGCAAGCGTTATTTGGGCACTCCTTGTGGGCCCAGCCCAGTCTCTGCAGGGCACACGCATTGCTCCTTATCACTCCACGCTGTGGCTGGAACACGATGTGGTTGCAGATTGCTTTGTGCAATCCACGTGGTCGAGATGATTCGGGGAGCAATTTTGCTAACTGTTCCTAGTCTTTCTGTCTTCCTTCC